GACAAAGTTGGTTTTGTCGCTTTATATATGGCCAGACACTTGCACTTGTTATTATAATATTAAATCAAGAACAAACAGAGTTATGAGGTTTTTGACCAGCGAATGACGGATATATGGGTTTCGTCCATCATTATTTGAGGCAGTATGCATCACATTAGGTTTTCATCAACTACAGGACAGGTTATAATGTTTATTGTTGATATGTGGGCAGTCAGTTTTTCTTGTGGAATACTTTGGACAAAATATCATGATATAAAAGTTGAACCGCTATGCAAGCAAATACCAGACTTCTCCATTCTTAAAAAAACAAAACAAAACAAAAAAAACAGTTTCTTAAGTAAATAAAACACTGTTTCATTTTCAAACATCAGTTCTGTTTCCCTTTGCATTGCAAACAAGAAGCGTTCTATCTCCAACCTGCGTGCAGCACTTCAATCATGACAGATGTGGGTGGAGTTATGTGGTTTGACTGACAGTTTGAGGATCCAATGGAGTTAGCCTACTTCGTTTATTCACAAGCTCATTTTAATACTTTTCATTGGTTGTAAAACCCACATACAGAGGAAAAGGATGACCAGTAGCATTGATTCTAAATAGAGCTGTGAAACGATTAATCGCATCCAAAATAAAAGTTTGTGTTTACATAATATATGTGTGTGTAGAGTGTATAATTATTTTGTATATATAAATACACACATATGCATGTATATATTTAAGAAAAATGTGTTAATATATAAAATATTTATATTTATGTATAATATTAATTTTGTATAAATATATATATATATATATATATATATATATATATTATGTAAACACAAACTTTTATTTTGGAAGCGATTAATCGTTTCACAGCCCTAATTCTAAAAATAAATAAAAAATGGCGGAATATGAGATACAAAGTTTCTGCCTCACAGCGACAATATATTCTTATTTGTAGCATTTATTTTAATTTATATTTTTCCGGACACACCTGAACACTTCTCCACGGCACACCTGAACACCTATCACAGTGGTTGGGAAACTGCTCTACTGACTCTCTCTCTTTATTAGCCTCATCAGCTCTCCCCTTTCACCCAATAAGTTCAGAATCCTTGCATCATCTCCACATGTGGCTCAATCACTCTTTCCAATCACACTGATAAAGAGTGAGAGAGAGAAAGGGTGTTAAGTCATCCAGTTAAACCTGTAATTGCCATGACCAAATCACTTCACTAAAAATATCAAAATTTAAACTACTGTGGAAACAAAGACACCTACATCTTGGATGCCCTTGAGGTAAGCTAAAACATAAATAAACCAAAACTGAATTTCAAAGTGAACTATCCCTTTAAACTTGCATAAATTAGTTTCCACATATCAGATTCTAGTAAGTACAGTGGTTTGCACGCATGACAACACGGCAACACTCAATAGTTTAGGTACGGTAAGTCAACACCAGCCTTGACACAACAGCTCACCCTCTCCTGGCGTAATTACCGGGTAACGTCACATCCCCACATTCAAACAGTGTCCTGAATAGACCTGCTCATATGAACCGTTTCACCTGGGAACTACAAACCCTACACATGGCACTTGAATCACTAAAAAAGCAGAATAAAATATCAGTGAACTTCCACTTGGGAAAGATGATTGCATGACCGCAATAAACGGATGTCTGTTTTTCTATGGCACCCAGTGTCAGGGTCATTGTACCCTGCGTGTGAATGAACCGACTGTTATGAAGAAGAGCAGAAATAGTTTTTAGTAAACATGTGAAATAGTCTCTTTCAAACATATTGTAAATCTGCAGAACATCGGGAACGGCGCTGACGGGAACTTTTGTGCATGTGCAGTCGGACATCAGGTCTCTTATTTTCATATCCCATGCACACTATTAGTGAAGGCCACAAACACAAGGATGCTTTTCATATCACACAAGAGATCCTGTCTGTGCCAGTTTGGCTTGCTTAGTTGGGGACACTTAATATTCAGCGATTTTACAGATTTGACTGCACCGACACTATCGGATGAGAACTGAACTGAGCATGATGATGACATCACTGTTTTCTACAGAGCTGCTTTTTAGCTGAATTTAAATAATTTGTCTTTTTTATGATGCTCTTTAGTCTTTACACAGTTATTGAAGAGAATTAACACTGACTGAATTGACCTCAGCTGAACAACAACACTCTTGTCTTTATAGAGCTGCTTTACAGCAGAGTTGAATTCTGTTTGCATATTGATTTTCCTGTTTATCACTGTAAAACTGCTTTGGAACAATCTGCTATTGTATAAATAAAACACATGTATTTATATTTACTGAATACTGTATTTCAGTATTTACTGAAAGTATATTACTATATAAATAAAGGTGACGTAACTATGTGTGCAGTTGACATAAACTTCATGTGTGACAAGACATACTCCATTTAAAACAGCTTTTTGCTATTATTTTTAATCATTGGCATCCATGCAGATTTTATGGCCTCCTAATAGAGACATTTAATATTTTTACTTTTAAAAAGATCACACTCATGGAGGTTTATATGCAATTTCCTGAAAACATTCATATCAATTGTAATTTAGCATCTTGATATTTATTATACACAATAATTTAGCTATATTTGTAAGGGCAGAAAAAAAGTCTACAAACTTACTTCTGTCAAGGCCCTCAACTTGTAAACATTCTTTAATAAAGGACAAAATGTCCTATTTAAATGAATGTTCCAGTTTCAGTTCTGGGTTAAGAAAATCATTTTGACTCACACCCCAGTTTGTAACTTACAATGGAAGTCTACAGGACAAGGCATTCTGGAAAGTTGAAAAGCAGTATAAAGCTCTCAGATCACTTATAATTTTGCACAGCTCATGTTGTCTGATATTTTTTTTGTCTACTGAAATCTCTTGGAAATATATTCTTGCAGTGTTTCGTCAGCAGAACAATCTGAAAGCACATTAAATAATAGTACAACCCACTGAAGAGATGTAATGACTATCCCTAACAGCTTCGCTTTTCATACCCGTTAAAAAACCTAAGATGACGCAGCAGTGAATAATGTCTATGGGAGGCCAAAAATAACTAACCAAAATATTCAATGAGATGTAAATGAGAGTTACTACTAGTACATTATTCCTATTTACATTCCACAGTTGCATTCTAGAACAGTGGCTCCCAAATAGGGTGGACATGCTATAGTGAAATAATTATTAATACAATTAAATCAAGTAAAATAGCTCAAAATTACTTCGGTGGCCACTTAATCCCTAAGAAAACCACTAAACTAAAAAACCTTTTTAGGTACTTGCTTTATTCTATTTCATTGAAAAAAACTACACACACATAATCACACAATCACAATTAATTTTAAAGGGTTAGTTCCCCTTAAAAATTAAACTGATCCGATATTTATGGAGCTTTTCTACTGCATGGTATGGTACGGTTTGGTTCGGTACAGCACGCTTTGGCGCTTTTCCACTGCATGGTACGGTACGTTGCGGCTCGCTTTAAATGGTACCTGGTCTGTTGAGGTTCCAAGCATACCGTACCGGTACTAAAATTGTGACGTGAAACACTGCAGATTACTGATTGGTCAGTGGAAAAACAACCAAGCTAAAGAGAACCGAGCCGTGCCGAGCCGTACCACGCAGTGGGAAAGCGCCATTACTCACCCTCAAGCCACAGGTGTATCTGTATGACTTTCTTCTTTCAGCCAATCAGTTACATTAAAAAAATACACTAGCTTCTCCAAGCTTTATGGAACCATGACAGGCATCTACTCACACCTAAGTTTACGATAAGCCTAAATCCCACATCATACACCGGCCCGGAACAATACCGAAAACCAGTGATTACAGTTTATAAAGTTATATCATTAATAATTATGGATATTTCTCTTCAAAATCTCAGGTACCATTCACTCCCATTATAAAGCTTAACAGAGCCAAGATATTTTTAATATACCTCAGATGGTGTTTGTCTGAAAGAAGAAAGTCATATACATTTAGGGGTTGAGTAAATTATGGGATAAATTTCCTTTTTGGGTTAACTAATAACACTTTAATGTACTGACAGTCTTAGTTTCTGCTTCTCAGTTTAAGTCTTGTCTTTGACAGGATGACCTAGGGAGATTCTGTGTAGACATCCGATGTTCTAGATAGAACGTGCGTTACCATGGCAGCGACATTAATCTAGATCGTTCCGGAAATCATTCAAAAATTATTTTCGGCGCGAACATTGATTCTAAACTGATGGCATGGAATCCGCAATTCCATCGATCAACTGTCCACTGTGTGAAACGTGGGACTGTTGGTTTAATCTAGCACCATCGACCAGGATGAACTCTGCACCAGCTGAGCCATGAAACCAATCCATCATGGCCTCATTAATTCAACTAGGAAGTCGTGTATCTGACGAACTAGAGCATGTTAACTAGTAAAGCAACCCACAACCGTTTCACACCTCTCCACTTCATCAGCAGAAAACAAACACACGTTTTAGTCGCCATCTCTGGCTTGCACGAGACGCTAAACCAGATAGCGTTAAACACATACAAGTAGAATATGCACGCTCGCTAACCGCACATTTACATTATCTTGTGTAAATAAAACACACCAAGCATAATTCTTTCTTATTTAGAGTTAAATATACGATACTTAGGCCTGTTCTCTAATGTTACATGTGTTCCTAGCGAGCTGGCTAAACATTCACTACCGCGATCCATGCGAACATCTGTCCGGGGAAAACTGATGCAATGCATTCCTTTACAAATGCATTGCATTCACATTTCAGTCATAAAAAGCATACGTGGGTAAATAAACAAGCAAGTTGACCGATTAAAAAAAAAGGTGACTGCATGTGTACAATAACAGTTATAGCAAAGCAATATGTTCCAGTCTTAAAATACAATTGAATCTATATTATGATAGACACATATAATGGCAGCCTGAGCCCAGTGTCCTGAATCAATGCACGAGTGTAGAATGGAAACATTGTGTGACTTGCGTTGTTCACAACTCACCTCATATTCTCAATGTCTCTGCCGCCGCTTTTCAGAATGCACATCGGTATGGTGGCAACGGCCAGCAGCATCATGTACGCCACATAGAAGCACTTCTTGAAATAGTAAACGAACGTGCTGCTGGTCCATAAAAGAAGCGGGAACACCAGCAGCACAGGCAGCATCCACACGGCGTCCATACCCGCGACCAGCGCCTCTTTCCCGGCTGTCGAGAAATGATACAAGGCCAGCGGTGTGGAGCGGAGGGAAGACCGTACGAGACCAACTCAGAACCGAGTCTACATCAGACACCACGTCCAGGTCGCACACTTGAGCAACTTTACCGATCCTCCTGCTAGTCGTTTACGTAATTTCACGCGAACGAGGGGGATGTCAACCAGAACCGGAGGTTTATGAACCAGGCGTGGGTTATCCACCCGAGAGCGCCTCTGAGTGTAACCTTTGGCCGTATTGAGTGTGTGTCACTAGCTGTGTTCGATTCGTGAATCGTTCATTTGAACCGACTCTTTGAAATGATTCTGTCTCGAGTTAACATGAACTTTCCAACATAACTGTAATTTAATTACTCTCTGCCTTGAAAAGATAAAGTAAGGGATTTACTCTTAATTTTGCTGTAATTGAGTTAGTTACTTCTGATGTAATTGCATACTGTATAGACTACAACAATTCTATATATAAACAATAAATGATTTAACATAAAAACCTAATGTTAAAATGTATGTTTTGTTTTTAATGTTACCTCCCTTTACACACTTTGGTCAGTTCAAGAATAATTTATGTTGTTCATTTGAAAGAATTAATATGGCAGTTTCGTGTCCTTGTATTTGTTCAACCGGTCGATTGGGATTTATAAAGTTATAAATTATGCAATACCCTTTAGAAAGAATTAGTACCGTAATCTAATTACACTGTTGAAGATGTAAATGGTAGTAATTAATTACTAAACACAGCAAACTATCATAATACTAGATAGCTTGATAAAACTGTTAAATAGAAGTAGGCCTATAAAGTAAATAAAAGTGTATTTGTTTATATTATGGGCACATTATATTTTTTTCTGTTGCTTTGTGTGCATATTTATACTTTGGCAATATTGTATGCAAAAAAACACTATTAACAATATGCAATAATTTATTTATATGCAAAGATATTGTTACTTTTAAGACATTTTATGACACTGACAAAAATTACGTATAACTGCAATGTAGGCTAATAATAATAATGCAATATTTTTATTGTTGTAGTTGAATGATTAAGTTATTATTGTGTCTAAAAGCAGAATTTAAAAAGACAAAATTGAATTTTAAATGTTCACAACACATCGTTAGTATGAAAAAATATTATTCTGACCCTGTATCCCTAAAGATTCTGAGAATCCTCTCAGAGAGCTCCTAACTCCTAACGCCAGGAGTTTTAGCTTAGAAGTGATTCCAAAACATTTTCAGTGAACTCTGAGCAAGGAATGGATGGAAAATCCAATCTTAGTGAGCAGATGTGGTTGACCCCGTTGCTAGGTATGAGTCATCATTTCAAAAGCCGTGATTGGTTGATCCTACAAGTTTGATGAAAATGAACTTATGGTGATAATGAGCAAAGGATGTACCCTCAAATCAATAAACATAATTATACAGTCTAATCTTATGCAGACTGTAATTGTAAATCAAATTTCACATTCAAGAAAATATCTGGAAAATGAATAGTAAGCTGTAGGGGTTATAGCCTAACATTGGAATCTAAAATATGTGAAAACTTACACCCTGCTCATTATACCCTGTTCAAATAATGATTTGTGTCTTATTTGCTCATATTAATACCCTAGCTGGCATATTGTGTACTTTCACTCCCATATGGACCCCATTGAAAACAAGATGGCCTAGGCTATCTGAAGGGACTGTAGAAATTGCAACGTTACAACTCAGTGTGGTCTTAACGAGGGTAACACGGCTCAGCTTTTATCAATTTCTGTGATTGCTGGCTGGTCTATTTATGAAGGCTTGTTAACAAATATCCTACAAACACAGAAAACTGAGAAAAAAAAGTAAAAAATACATTTTGTGCAGCTGCTTAGGGGAACTCCTAAGCCACTAAAAGTCCTCTTCCCTGCTCTTAGCAGATCTCGCCTTAGGTCTGAGCTACAGAGTGATGATTAATTGATCAAACCAGTTAACCATTTTCTTTGAACCAGTTCACTGAAACGAACCGATTCTCTCAAATGATTCGGACTCCCCCACGCTCTGTCTTATGCACAAAAGAGCCTGCTGTAAGTTTGAATCCCTCCCATGTGTGTGTTTCCGGGTACTGGTTGCTTGTATTTCCTTTTCATGTGTGTTTGTTGCAAACTATAGTTTACTCGACATATTAGATTGTGGCAACATCTGGAGTAGGCCTATTTAATACCCCAATGGAACGTTCTGGAACAGTTGAGGACTTACACAGTTAACAGGACGATCCAGTTACTGGGACAAGTCTAGAGCACGGATCCCACCGGCACTGAACTAAAGTATTTACATCTTATTTGACTGTGTAAATTACTAACGTTAGTGAAAAAGGCGTCATGCTGTCTATACTTTTTCCTCTAGGCTACATCTTTGTGGTTATTTTATAGGCTGTTTAAATAATAAAAAGGGATATTTATTTATTTATTTATTTAAGTGAGAAAAATATCCAGTGTAGCCTATCAAAAATGTCTCTTTCCGCACTAAAATAAAAACGAGTTATTGAATAGACCAGTCACAGTGTTATTGATATTTTACTACAGTAACCCTGCTATAGTCCATAGGCTACAGTTTGATTTGCACAATGTGCTATTGCAAAACGTTTTACCAGAAAACGTAGGCTTTCTTGTCATTTTAGAATGCTAGGAAAAATCATGATGCCAAGCGCTGAGAAGTGAACAACCAGATTACCGATGAAAGGAGTTGCAGTTAACAAGATTAAATGATTAATCAGGGTGTGTAATCTGATCCAGCAGATCTTCTTCAGTGCTACATGTGGTCACAGAGTCATTTAGCTGTTTAAATGTGACCTGACCACAGTCACAGCTCTGGGCCTGTGTGTGTGTGTGTGTGTGTGTGTGTGTTTATTCTCGGACAGTTTCGTCCTTTTAGTGCCATTGCTTTAGTTTCAAGATACCTGCATCAATGTGTAAAATATAATGATTAGGCTATGCCAATTTGAAAATTGTTGCCTCCAAAACAAATTCTGAGTCACTAAAAAAGTGACCACAATCTTTATATTTATTATCGATTAATACAAGGAAAGAGTTGTCTTTTTTCAAAAAAAAAAAAAAAAAAAAAAAGCGACAATTTCTCAGCTGAGCTAAACAGCCAATCACAGCAGAGCTTCTGCTTCCGATCATGACGTCAGAGAGTAATGGTCAAGGGAGCACATCATGTCATCACCAGCTACGGTGACAATTTTCAGCTAAACTTTGTCCTCATAGATGTTGCCACACTGTTGAGACACTCTGGCCTTTTATTTAATGGAGGTTATTCAGAAATTTAGCAAGATGAGTTGTTTTATTATATCGATATGGATTATTTCTTGTGCACTCCTTATTGTTTCTGATTTATCTTAGCACAATTTTCCATGAAGCTTTACCGCACTCTGTTGGCCGTAACATGTATTGCAAGAAATGAATGGACATAATTTTGCCTTTAACTTCCTTAGAAAGTAAAATATAACAGAAAATACTACTGATTTTTTTTTAAAGTAGATTTTTAGATTTATTTGTTACATTATAAGAACTAAGCACACTGCTTAGGGCGTGCGACCTCTGACATAACAATTGTAAGTCGCTTTGGATAAAAGCGCCAGGCAGCTAAATGAATAAATGTAAATGTACAAGACTAACAGAGGGAATGTGAAGGCTTGACATAAGACAAGGACAACCAGTGACACAATCAACAACAACAACCTGAAAGAGGCCTGCACATTATATTTTTTTCGCTCAAAATGAACAAAATATAATGAACAATATAGTCAATATCATCAGTCAGTCTTGTTTTTGTAAGTAAGCCTTTTATAAGTGTTATATAAGCGGGGTGTTTTTTTTTTCAGGAAATTGCATTACGTCACCTGTTTGTGCCTCGTCATATCCGTAAATTGAGAAAAGTTGCCCCGGCTACTTTGACACATGTATGTTGCGCGAGTGGTATAGGTTAGTTTTCACAATGAGCAGGAAAGGTTGACATCAGCTAAATCTCCAACTTCCGGGGAAGGAGGGACTGCTGGCAAAAAGAGAACAGAGCTCAGAATAAAACAAGAACCAGCAAAGGTTTGGCTTTTTGGAGATAACTGAGTGATGGTTTAGCAGGTGAGTAAGGTATTTTTTTTTTATTATTATTATATTATTTTTTTTAATGAAAATATTATTTTTAAAAATATTATTTTTTTAATTATTATTATTTTTTTTTTATTACAGATAAATTGCCATATTATGTATCTCTCCAACCGAGTTCATTGTAAAAAGAATTATCTTCTGGATGGTCATTTCTCATTTCATTATGGGTTGTTGTTGCGGTGGAATTTATTTTGAAATAACCTGGATAGCTCATCTTCAGTCAGCTTGAGGTCCTTCTCATATAAATTGGTTATGTCCTTGAATGTTTTTAAATGTTTAGGGTAATTAAATCTCTCTCTTTTTTTAGTTATGAGAAAGAAGCATTCATACAGCCATTCGTCCATTTGGCTTTTCCAAAACACAACTAAAAAATGTATTTTTCTTCTGCAAAATAATTGCATTTTTTTAACCGCTGTGGCCATACTATTAAGTATATACTATAAATTATATCTAACTGACTAAAATATAATTGAATTTAGCTGAGTTTCATTTCTATTATTCAGAAATATTCTAGAATTATTAGCCAACAATGCATTTGACACTTCAGTTACTTTTAGACTACAAATTTACATAAGAATGTGCAAAAAACTGCTGATTTTCAAGATAGATTTATCTTTTTCTTGTTCTATTTTATTAAAGGGATTCCCTATTCTTTTCTGTTCTATATAAAATGTTGATTATTTATTTTATATATATTTTATTCAAAATGTCTTTCTATTTAGGTTTTAATATCCTTGAAATATAATTTTTGTCTTTGGTCAAATTCAAGGGGTATTCTTATATTGTGTTTTAATAAATAAAAAAAACGAAATTAAAGATATTTTAAAACCGAAAAAAATACATTTTTCGATTCTAAACGTCACATTTAAAGGGATAGCTAAAATGAATTATATCCAGTTGTCTGTGTTCTGGGATATATGCTATATTGTATTATTATTATTTTTTTAAAGCGACATTAAATGTATTTTTATCGAAATAGATGTACTTGATCCAATTTAAAAAGATTATCTTATCTTTATTTTATTGTAATAAGTCGTATTTAAAGGGACAGTATTGTTTGTTTTCTGTCGGTAGTGTAAATCAGGGTCTCTTCCCCTTTAAGGCGCTTTGTAGAGTCAGAGAGGCCGAATCTCCAGCTGATCGTCAGTGATTCTCATTCTCACACCGTCTCTTCCACACGATTCGCGCGTATCCTAAGCAGAATCAAACATCTCTCTTAAATATCTTGCAAATATTAGTCCTAGTTTTTAAAGCATCTTTGGCCGTGTCGTATCTCGTCGCGGTCGCGCGAGGATGATGCCTGGAGCTCGCGCGTCTCTGGATGCAGCGCGTGCAAATGGATGCGTGTGCGCGCGCGTGCCCTTGAGTTGAGCACCACCAGCATGGGATGTTTCTCCATCACACGGCCGATTGCATATTGAAACAAAAGCGCGGTGCTATAAAATAAGAGCAGATGATTATTTTGACTCTTTATTGTGCCGGAGAACACCGCTGGCGTGTCGTCTGTAAAGGAGAAAACGAGATGAGAAAGTGACGGCGTGTTTGGAGGGGAATATCTGTAATTGTGCTGCGCATCATCAGTGTGTGAAGATGCCGAGGAGTTTACGCAGGCTGGTGCACTTGGTGCTCTTCTGTCCCTTATCTAAGGGTTTACAGGTAACTTTATTCACTCGAATGACGATGTTTGGGAATAATTTTCCCACGGAAACCTTTTAAAGGAATTGAAATGACACAGTAGCACAAAAGTACCATGGTACATTACCATATTTTTTTTTTATCAAGGTAATGTTTCCTGGGCATTGCATTACCATGAATACTGTGTAAATACCATGAGACATAAAAATGGAAGTCATTCTGCTCTATGAGAAGGGGAACCGGGGATAGTTAGAATTTTTACTCTAATATAGATAGGCTATAGCTATCTCATGGCAGGTTATATTTTGAAAGTCAATTTCTGCTAGCTATTAAATATTTGTACCATTTTTGCCCAGAAATATGTTGACATTTCTCATGGCAGGTTTAATTTTAAAAGTCAATTTCTGTTTTACTTATTTACATTTTTGTCCAGAAATATGTTGACATTTTGACACCTTGCCCACTTATAGGGGGAACCTGCTAGTAAATAACCTATTTTAGGCTTTTCAGAAAAATCTAAACAACAATACACGGAAAATAAATAAATTAAAATATATATATATTAGGTCTGTCAAACAATTAATCGCAATTAATCGAATCCAAAATAAAAGTTGTGTTTACATAATATATGTGGGTGCACTGTGTATAATTATTTTGTATATATATATATATATATATATATACACACACATGCATGTATATTTAAGAAAAAAATATTATTTATATATAATATATGAATATTTACATATAATATAAATTATATATAAATCTATATACAGTATATATATATATGAAAATATTTCTTAAATATATTCAAGCATGTGTGTGTATTTATAATATAATTACACACAGTGCACCCACATATATTATGTAAACAAAAACTTTTATTTTGGATTCGATTAATCGCGATTAATCGTTTGACAGCCCTAATATATATATATATATATATATATATATATATATATATATATATATATATATATATATTGCACACTTATTATTAAAACAACAAATATGTTAAAGGCAATATGTATTATGTAAACATATCAAAAACTTCTGTTGAAAACATACGTTTGTGTAATTGTACTTTTAAAAGTTCCTGAAATACTGTCTTTGTGACCCAGTGTGACAACTAGCCCCAGTCACCCCTGTTCTATCACATAGTATGTTATGAGCATTTGATACCATCACTGAATCTCCTGATTTATATGCATTGGATGCTTCGTCTCTATTGTTAAAAGAAAGGTTACATAAATCTTAAGAAAGATGATCTGTCATTTTAAATGTTGCAGTTAATATACTGTTTTCCCATCTTTAGCTGATCTCACACACATACACACGACTGATGCTTAATGCACACACTCTATGTTGACAATATTTCTGTAAATCCGCGCTAAGATCTCTCTTTCATAAGTGCACACAGCGGAAGTGCGCACTGTGACCGGTTAAAACTGTGTAGGTCAACTCCTTGCACTGAAGATGGCACAGATTTCAAATGTATCTTTCTTTTCTCTCGTACAAGAGAACAAAAACAGCAGAGATTCAGCCTGAAGTTACACAAAAGCACTAGAGTTTTACTGGTGTTTTATTCCATGCAATTACAATGGATGGGAACTGCGGCTTTCGGTCTTCAAGAATGATGCAAAAACTTAATAACACATAAAAGTGATCCGGATGACTTGTGTGCTACATTCCAAGTCTTGTTCCTTTGTGTAAGGAACTGACTATTTGTTATATCTAATTATTGTTGTAATATAACTACACATTAATATGCATACTCGCATGCAACTAACCCTAATCTAAAACTAAACCCTAATTCTAAAGCCCAGAGTATGCTATCAAAGTATACTCCATTTGATAATGTGGCCAAATGCATGCTGTCAACACATCTTTGTTGAGTGTCTGCCCTATTTTTTTCATAAGTTATGACCAAAGAGAGATAAAATGTCTTCATATTAGTTTAAATCAAAGTTGTGGCGATCTCATAAGCCCCTCACACAAGAGCTTATCAATGCGGGTGTCTGTTGTTGTCTTTTTGGTGAACAAATCACTCTGGCTAGTATTGAGATCAATGGATTCATTGAAAAGATTTTACTCGAAAGAATGAATCGTTCATGCATACAACCATCTCTACTTTTGTGAATTCTAATGCAGGTGTCAGGACGAGATAGGGTGAAATTGTTCATGATTGTGGTCATATGACCTCTTTTTTTGATACTTGCATGGTGTTTTTACATGCTTTTGAAAGCCTTGTTAGTTGTATTTGCATGTCATTTCAATTGCATTGTTGTTTTGAACAACATGTGGGTGAGTTAACGATTACATAATGTTAATTTTTCAATGAAAAATTAATTCAGTGCATATTTTTGCATGACAAATGTATTTTAAAAACTGATTTTTTTTGGATTGATTGTTCAGGCCTTGTTTTCAGAGAACACACACACAGAGTGAATTTAGGTGTCTAATAACAGTTGTCTGTATCAACAGGCAGTAATCGGATATGTGTGTTCACTCACTTTCCCAGTCGAGCACAGAGGACCGTTGCTGCCTTCGGCATTCAGTGCCCTTTTACACCTGAAAACTGTCCAAGAGAAGATGTTTAATCTTGTTAGGACACATGCTAATGACCATTCAAATCTTTCCCTGTTGCTTTCTCTCTCAAAGTAGCAATGCTATCGTTCCATCACAAGCCAACTTGCCCTATTCAGATTTTCTGCTCAAATCAAAAATGTTTTTCAAATGATCTTTTAAATGTGGCACAAATCCTGCATTAAACACTCCACCACCCTGGCATATTCATCACAATGTCATCATCAGGTTTCAACATGTAATTTAATAATATATTTTTTCTTATATAAAAAGCAAAGACTTCCAGTCATCATTTCACTGTTCCAAGCAAAACATTTGAGACATAATGCACATCGATAAAAATAACATTTAAATTTGAAATGTATTTTAAAAAGAAAAATATATTTAAATGAATATTACTATATTTTTTACATATTTGTATATGCACATTTTTGTGCAATACTTAATGTAGTTATTGTGTAAATAAATTATTCTAAATAATTTGCCTGTATATCATAAAATTATGACAATACTTGAATTAAGATTTATTATGTACATCAATAAATATTACATTTCGCTTATTTTTTAAAAATGTTTGACCTTTCTTTGTAATACTTAATATATTTATTGTATGGAAAGAAAGAAATGGCTATAAATTATTGATTTAATAAAAGGTTGAGTTAAGATTGATATTATAAAAATAATAATTTTTTATTACTCTGCACATTGAAAAATTCTGATATTTATCTAATTTATTTACACACATGAAATTGGAAATAAGATCGAATAAAAAATGTAATGTAAACAAGAGCTTATATATGTCATGTGAAATATTGTTGAGTGTATGTTTGTTTCTTTCAGTCCCGCTTACCTGCAGTAAAGGTCAAGTACCTGTTGGTGGCGTGGTTTGGGATTCTGGTGGCCAGCTGGGTGATTTACATGCAGTATTCCTCTTATTCCGAGCTCTGCAGAGGACACGTCTGTACCATGCTCATCGTAAGTCACTGCCTCCTCCATAATGCATAAGTTGAGCTGGACATCTCTTCCCATGAGCCCCATTCCCTGCCACTTAGGTGGAATCTGCGTAGAATAGAGAGGGTTTGCCACTTATGACAGAGAGTAAGTGTCTTATGATGATTCAGGATGATGGACAAACACCTCAGTGCAATCTCATTTAGTACATACTGTACACACAGATGGGGTATATTTATGCTGTTTTGCCCTCTTGTATTAGTCACTGACAGGAAGTCATTGCACATACAGTAACTGAAAAATTAAAAAGAGAAAGTGAGAGAGTTGGCAGTTCATAATTATGCTGTTATTGAAACCACATTTAACCTTCAAATGGTCTTCGTTTCCTGTTTATACTTCTGGGCTTCGGGGTCGATACCACCCCAACAATTGATTGAGTAATTGTACAAAAAATATACATTTTTAATCATAAAAATAATATATCATTTTTTTTTTTACTTCTCATCTATTCATTAATGCTGTGTTTTTGGAGATATAAAGTACTTTTGTATCCATATACCACACAATTCCTCAATTACACCATTAGCTTTAGCATTAGCATATGAAATGTTATTTTTATGATGCATTGCATTTATGCACTAGTACTAGGCCTTCATTTCTGTGTAAAAAGTTTCAGATTTATGCCAGATTTTTTTTTGACACTTTAACAAAATTTATTTAGTTCTTTTCACATTTACCATTCATTTCATTTTTTTTTACATACCTTCAGAACAACCAAATCAAGCCCAGTTTGTGTGTGTGTATAGATAGATAATGTATGAAAAGTCACAAAATCTTATTCCACTGAGATGAAGGGAACCTTTTTTTTGTTAAGTAAAAGTCGATTGGGGTCGTATAGACCCCATGACCCGATTGAGGGCTACAAAATTCTCCATTTTATTGTAACAGTATGCTAATTATGTGGTGTGATTGAGTTTAATCACAAATTCGATATTCAGCTACAGGATGTAAAATATTCACATATTCTTTCTTAAAAAGATCTTATCTTCTCACCGTCTTGTATCAAACGAATTTCCTTTCTGCGCCTCTCAAAGTGATGTTAGAATGTACATCTGTTATATCTGTGCGTCACGGTTATAGTTTAGACTCTTGGTGAGGCCCAGAGAAAGGAAGCTCTTTTCAGCTTTTGTTTTGCAACGTGCATGTTGACAGCCACTTTGATAGATACTGTATCAGAAATGAAAACGAGAAAGAAGTAAAACGCTGCCTTTAGAGTGATCTGTGCATTTGTGGCTCATTATCTGCCCAAGCACCAATCCATCATAACATCATGAATGATCCGTTTGTCCTCCAGTGGCTGGAACAAGGCTGTTAAATTGAGAATAGATGGCAAGATGTAGTACAGTATGTGACATTTGTGGTTAATGCCTGTCCTTTTCCTGTGTGTGTGTGTGTGTGCGTGTGTGTTTTAGTGTGACCATTATCGCAGAGGCATCATCTCGGGATCAGTGTGTAAGTCTCTCTGTGAGGAGAAAACGCTGTCTTTTCAACACTGTCTTTCAACATCACCAACACACCAGGTAAATGCACGCATGGATGATTCTTAAAGAAAATAAATAAGAAACTATAATTTCCAGGTTTTTGCATCACATTTATTTTCCATAAAAAAAGTATTTTTCTCCAGGCAATAAATCTGGACTTAAGTTAATATTTACCTTTTTTTTTACATGCATTATCCTCAATGGTGATTTTTCATATACTGCAATGTTATCTTTTTACTATATTATTTTAATATTTTGAAATTAATTTATTTGATTTATTGATATTTGTATTTTTTTTTTCATTTCATTTTTTTGCCTCAATGTGATTTATTATTATTATTTTTTTAAATTATGGTTCTAAATAGGCATACATATGTCACACACGTTAATATATATATATATATGTGTGTGTGTGTGTGTGTGTGTGTGTGTGTGGTGCAGGTGTACAGTGCTGTGTGGAAGCAGAAATCCTTGTTGGTGAAGTGTGGTATTGAAGAGAGCATGAGAGGAGAAACGGATCCTGACACTCCACTACTGCATGACAACAACCTCTATGATAAACCCACACGCGGAACATCCATGGATGAATTCAGAGCGATGCTGCATTCCTTCCTCAAGGTCTCTTCATCTACTACAGCTCCTTTATTGTCAATTTTTCACATTAAAAGCAAATATCAGAGTAAACCAGACCTGCAGTTGACAGAGAAACCAGTTTTGTTGTGTTTAGACATTTCTAATCCCATCTTGTTTTAAGTTTACCATTTAAAGGAGAACTCCGGTGCAAAATGAACCTTTGGTCTAATAAAACATCAGTACCTAGTCAACCGTTCTCTGGGATTTGTTTTCATGATAATCAAATGTAAAGAGTTCTATCTCTAAAAACTGTTTAGTGTATAACGCTAGTAATGGGGGCATATAATAAGTAAAAAGAAATCGCTAGTTAATACCACGAACAAGGCTCAAAATAGTAACACAGTAACATAATGAGGGTCCCTAAATACAAAACGAAGCATTGAGAACTTTGTAAGTGTACAGACCGTTTAATAAGAAGATACTTTATAAAGACTTTGTGTATACAGGCAGTAGCCATCTTTGGAAAACAGTCTCGACAAGTCGAACCACGAACGCTGTTCATACAGTTCAGCTTACTTGGCACGTCGTTCGTGGTTCGACTTGTCCAAAGATGGCTCCACCTGTATACACGAAGTGGACTGTCTTCATAAAATATGTTCAGATGCAAAAGCCTCTAAGTGCCATTTGAAATTTTCTTCTAAAATGATCATTTTTATCAAGCTTGTATATTTAAGTTCAGTGATTTCACTTAAATGGCAATGAAGATCACCTATTAATTGTCATTTAAGTGAAATTACTGAACTTAAATTTACAAGCTTGATAAAAATGGTCATTTTAGAAGAAAATTTCAAATGGCATTTAGAGGCTTTTGCATCTGAACTCTTCATATCTTCTTATTAAACGGTCTGTACACTTACAAAGACAGTCCACTTCGTGTATACAGGTGGAGCCATCTATGGAAAACAGTCTCGACAAGTCGAATCATGAACGACGTGCCAAGTAAGCTGAACTGTATGAAGTTCAGCGAACTTCTGAACTGTATGAACGGCGTTCGTGGCTCGACTTGTCAAGACTGTTTTCCAAAGATGGCTCCTGCCTGTACACACGAAGTGTACTGTCTTTATAAAGTATCTTCTTATTAAACAGTCTGTACACTTACAAAGTTCTCAATGCTTCGTTTTGTATTTAGGGACCCTCATTATGTTACTGTGTTAGTGTGGGGCTTTTTTGAGCCATGTTAGTGGTATTAACTAGTGATTTCTTTTTACTTATTATATGCCCCCATATACTAGCGTTATAAGCTTCACAGTTTTTAGAGATAAAACTGTTTACATGATTATCATGAAAACAAATCTTAGAGAACGGTTGACTAGGTACCAATGTTTTGTTAGACCAAAGGTTCATTTTGCGCCAAATTTCTCCTTTAATGCCATGATTTTCAATATTGATTAAATGAAATCACCATTCAATGATCAGGAATATATGAAGAATATTTGCTGTATCACCCAGCCCTAATTGTGACTGATATTTGAGATGTTAATGTCCTGCAGAGCAAAGCAGAAACTGAGCTAAAGACAGTCTAAGCCTCTCTAAGCTTTCGGCTGTTCCTTATTCTCTTGCAGAAGGGTGAAAATGGAGAGAGAGCAGGGGAGGGAGTGGGGTAACAGGGAAGAGAAGCCAAAAATAACTGAAGGAGCTTGAAAAGGTCACAGCCAGAACAATACACTCACTTTCAGTGTCACGGGGTAGAACAACAAACACACACGCTTAAACACAACGTACACAAATGCTGTAAATGGCCATGCACACTTCAGTATACACGCATACATGTGTACTTGGTGAAGACTGTCATTTACTGTAAACTTCTCATGAAATAAAAGTTTTGTGGCTTTTAGTCCATGTCTGTTAATGTTGATGCTAGTGTAGGTACTGAAATTTAAAAAATGTGAAGATACTAGCATTTCCCTCTAGCATTTTGAGCGATGTTGAACAGATTCTTAAATGTCTCTGATTGGCTACTGCGTTGACATGCTCAACATATATATGTCTCTGATTGGCTATTGTGTTTACATGCTCAACATATATGTCTGTGAATGGCTACAATCAATGAACAATGCTTCAAAAACATGTCTTCACCGAGTACTTACACAGATACACACAGGAGCGTTTGAAAGCAGGTGGATCTGTCTATCAGTGAAAATATTAGGGATCCGCTGATAGACGCCTGCTTTCAAACGCTCCCGTGTGTATCCGGATAAGCGCTCGGTTAAGACATGTTTTTGAAGCGTTTATCATTAGAGACATATATGTTGAGCGTGTGAATGCAATGGCCAATCAGAAGTGTTTAAGAATCCATTCAACAGCGCTCTCAAAATTCTTGACGGACTCGAAAATTCGTCACATTTTTAAAATGTAATTACCGGCTTGGTACCGAAGTCAGTAGCGTCTGTTAGTGTACACCTTACACAATTGGCAAATAAATTATTTTTATCTTGTACATGCTCTCTAGAGTGAATACTTCCCCGTTCCTTAATGTTTCCCTTTCTTCTCTCCTTCCTTCACAGGACAGCGTTGGAGAGCAATCGTCTCTTAGCACCCTTGTAACCCGTGTGATTTCTCTTGCTGATGTCAACGGTAATGGCAAAGTTTCATTAGCAGAGGCGAAATCCGTGTGGGCTTTGCTTCAGATCAATGAATTTGTTCTAATGGTGGCACTGCAGGATAAAGAACATGCTCCTCACCTATTAGGCTTCTGTGGAGACCTTTATGTGACCGAACACGTAGCACACAGCGCCCTCTTCAGGCTGGAGGTGCCTGGCTGGCTGCAGCCAGTATTTCCTGAGGCGCTAGGTGTCGCTCTAAACCAGTGGCTTGCTCCTGCGTGGCCCCGCAGGGCTCGAATAACCATTGGACTGCTGGAGTTCGTGGAGGAGGTGTTTCATGGCGTTTACGGAAGCTTCTACATATGCGATGCAAGCCCGAGAAGGGTTGGCTACAATGCAAATTATGACTTCAAAATGGCTGACCTTCAGAGCGTAGCATCGGAGGCAACCATCAAGGGGTTCCTGCGAGGGAGAACTTGCGAGGCAAATGCCGACTGCACTTACGGGCGAGATTGCACTGCGACATGCGACCGATTGGCAAGGCAGTGCAATGTGGAGGTGGTGCAGCCCAACTTGGCCAAGGTGTGTGCGCTACTGCAGGACTTCCTACTCTTCGGAGCACCATCAGACCTGAGGGAGGACCTAGAGAAACAGCTGCGCACCTGTGTGACTCTCAGTGGGCTTGCATCACAGATGGAGGTGCATCATTCCCTCGTTCTGAACAACCTCAAAACACTACTGTGGAAGAAGATCTCGGATACCAAGTACTCTTGAGACCAATATAGGGATGATCAAGAGAAAGGCAACGAAGAGCAGGAGAATTGGAGACTTCCTGAAAGCGAAAGTGGGGTCGGCACAGCAGCCTCTGAAGGGGCCAACAGAACAGCTGAACTCTGCCAGCTACTATGGACCTAAAATCTGTTGACCATCAATCGTCTTTGAACAAGAATATAGTGTATGCTCAGAAAGGGCATACATCCCCACCTACTGTTTTCATCAAGCGAATCAAACGAAGATCCTTTAATCCTAAAGAAACGCATTCGGAAGACTTTTTTGTTCACCTTTACCCGAAAGATTTACTGTGAAGTTAGGAACAAAAACAATTGGAGAACATTTGACTGTGCTACACCTTCCCAAATTGTACTTTGAATCCTACTTGGTCAACTTTTGGTTAAGGATCTGAGCTGCAAGCACAATAATAGTAGGGTCAAATCCAAGTAGAAGTAACCAAGGAAAGGAGAAAAGGAGAGATTGGTCTTGCTCTACATCCCCACCCTCTATTTTATTAGGTTTCATTTTACGTTATTCATCTGAAATCCCTTTAAAGCTATAGAAAAACTATTGGAAAAACTCTTTCCTTTGGCCGAAATTTCCAAGGTGAAGTTAAGAGTCTAATTAGGAACAAAGACAACTGAAAGACTTTCTTTGACCATGCAAAACACCTTCCCAAAACCTTGAGTCCTGCTCGGTGAAGGACTGGTTAAAAGGATTGTGGCTGCAAGCTCAAAGATAAAAGGTTGATTCCATTAATTAGTCACCCAAGGAAAGAGTTTGCAAGAGAACAGCCTTGCCCTACAACTGTAATACCCTTAAGCATGACCTGCAATTTTTGGTTGCAACAGTTTTTGTGAGTTGCTTCTTGAAGGGTAAACTACATCCACACCTGTTTTGACTTTAAACATGGAACAAGAGGGATCTTTAGCAACGTTTGGAATTTTAAGTCAGGACTCTACGCCAAAACCTGCAACTCAACCAAGACGTCAACGCTGTAATGAGTATGAGTTAAAGGAATGAGTAAAGGTTATATTTAGCCTATGTCTTTTTACAGAGTGTGTGTGTATTCTAGGAGGATGCTTTATCTCATGTTGTAGTTTTACAGGAAGGACATTCCTTTTCTGAGCGGTCTAAAGCATTTGTGATGGGATTTGCTATGCTTGAACGGTGAGATTACTTACTGTGTTTCTCAGGGTATGTGGGTTTATGTTTGAACGTGTTTCGAAAATGATTACTATTAAAGGGATAGTTCACTCAAAAATAAACATTTTGTTATAATTTACTCCCCTCACACTCATGTTGTGTCAAACTTGTATGTGTTTCTTTGTTCTGTTAAACACAATAGGATATTTTAAAGCGACACTGTGTGATTTTTACCCCCATCTAGCGGTGAAAAGGTATATGACCACCCAGTGAATATTAGTTTCTGTTCCTCTCAATTCCGATTTCGTTTTAACTCCTACGGTGGCCACTGTAGTCCAAGATTAACATGGCTTCCAGTTCGACCTCGTCCATGAGTGTTAACTCAAACATAAACGCGAAAGGCGAAGCTTGAACTAACAGGTTAGTTAGAACTAACAGGTCCCTCTTTGGCTAATGTACTTTCAAGATGGAGGGGCAACATGGCGACCGACATTAGAACCCCTTACCCGTATGTATTTTCAATGGTATATTATACACTCACGAGAATACTTTATTACTTGAACAAAGTAAATATACATTAATGAGCACATATATTTTTGAAAGAACTAAGTGTTTTTAGCTAAGAATAAACTAAAAGAGTTACACAGTGTAACTTTAAATAATGCTGGTAATCAAACAGTTGACAGTAACCATCGACTTCCATAGAATCTTTTTCCTACTCAATTGGAAGTCAATGGGTCCATCAACTGTTTGATTGCCAACAATCTTTAAAACGTCTTTTGTGTTCAACAGAACAAAGAAACTCATACAGGTTTGGAACAACTTGAGTGCGAGCAAATGATGACAGCATTTTCATTTTATTAAACTATCCCTTTAACATTAAACAATATGGTGATGAACATAAAGTAAAGTTTGAGGAATCACGGTCTAGTGACTGTATGTGCAGGTATGTAAAACATATTTGCATATAAACCTGAAAGTGCGTGTGTATACTGGAAACACTTATACTTAACTCACAGTAGACACTTTTATAAACATCTTGTATCTCATCAATACCAAACGACGTGCACATTTCACAAATAACCAACAGGAGGTACATCTACTTTATTTATATTTACATTGAGACATGTGACCAAGTGAACATTTAAAAACTCCTGTTTTCGTCTTTTTCTCCTGCCTGGCTTTGTGGGAACAATACTGAAATGTGGTTCTTACACAGATTCACACACATACTTAACCTATGCGAGAATTGATTTTGAAAGGGCAACAAGCTTATGTCTTCTAGTGTGTGCTAGCCTTTTCATGTTGTTGAATGAAGTGATTTTGTGTACTATTAAGTCATATTTCTTATTTTATTCTGTCTCAGTGTGGAGAGCAGCACAATTAGCATCTGGCCTTGTTCAGGCTCCTAAATATTTATTTTATCTCCATCATCCTGTTCAACTATTATTCACTTAGTAAATGTTTGAAACTCAAATTTTCGTACGTGTGTTTTATTAAATAGGTTTTTTGTGTGAAGTACTGGCACAAAATGTACAGCTCTTGGGAGGTCAAACCCAAATGCACGTATCCTTTTACCTGACCTTTAGAAAGAAACAAGGAATCTGCATATATTAGTCAAGGAGGTCTCCCAAAACCTCTGCTTTAAAGGGATGCGTTACTAACAGAAGCAAAACTTGTACATTCACATGCTGGACTGGCAAAGACTGAAAACTCAAATAAAAAAAATCTGGTAACACTTTACAATACGGGTGCACTAATATGCATCAATTTATGCTTAACTAATGCACAGATAATCATGAGTTAATGTATAACTCATGAAGAACTAAACCATTAATTAATGATTACTGCATCAGCAACTAATAAAGAGTCTATATGATTAATAGATTAAGTAATACATTCATTGCTATTAATTTAATGTGTCATTGTGTATTAATTCCTTAATAACATATTTTATGAAATAATAGTGTAAATTAATGTGTTAATTACCACAATTAGACAAAGCTATGCACTTCAACTTCCAGTTGTCTGCTTTAATTAATAATTAGCTAATGATTTGCAAAGGCATCATTATGTTATGACTTTACTTGCTGGGGCACATCATTGTTAACTAGTCATTTAGTAATTGTAGTAATTTGCACATGAATTTGCACTAACAATGAAGTAATTAATCATGTATTAATGCATATTAGTGTTCCTCTCATACTGGTAATTAACATTATTAACACTATTAGTTAAAAAATGAGTATGGAATCAATCCACAATTACATATTAAATTAATAACAATTCATGTATAAACTAATACATTAAACTTACAGACTCTTAATTAGTCCCTAATGTGGTAATCATTAATGAATAGCTTAGATAATCATTATTTACAAATTAATTCAGTTTTATCTGTGCATTAGGTAAGCATGAATTAATCCTTATTAGTGCACCCGTATTGTAAAGTTACCAAAAATCTTTAGTCTAAATTTTAGACTTGTTTTATTAGTTCCTAAAAAATACAATAATCTGACTCTAGATGCAGATATTTATTATAGCATATTTTACATGCATTTAAAGCATTTCATATTTAAAATGTGAACTTGCGTTACTATGTAAAGCTGAATTTTCAGCATCTTCAGTGTCACATGATCCTTCAGAAATCATTCTAATATGCCAATTTGCATATTTCTTACTATCAATATTGAATAAAACGTTTGCAAGAATAGAATCTATTTGAAATAGATTTTTTTTAAAACAATGCATCCTTGCAGAATTTTTTAACTATATCTTCATAACCCCAAACTTTTACTTTTTTCATGATCAATTATGGAGAAAGACACATTTATTTTGTGATAGTGACCAGTTCACTGTGAATTAAACTGACACTGGATTATTGATGCGAGTGAAAACAACTTTCCACTTGGCTCGTTAAAACAACTGACCAATCAGAATGAAGGATGTTGTGGATGATGGTCATGTGATCTTGTTCAGCTGGCCCAAAGAGCAGGTGGAGATCAACAACCCGAGTTGAGTCAGACACATGTGGCACACAGCAGATGAAAATGTTTCGATCAGCTGACTCGATCCATTTGATTTGTCATGTTTCTGAAATTAATAAAGCAAAATAAAGATTGAAGCAAAGATCCACCTCTGAGAAAGTAAAAATCACAACACACTTCACACAAAATCAAACGGTTTTATCAGCAGGAATCTCGAGACTTTTTAATTAAATAGAAATGTTGAATTAAATAGCTGATTATCTGAATTAGAATAAATTAAAACCTAAACATATTGCAGATAACAGCATGACAGTCATGCAAAGTTGAAATGGAAAAGATTACAGACTGGTCTATTATTCAAACTGTCAGGTCTTTAAGATCATTATAGAAAATCCCCCTTGAAACAGGAACTCGTGCTAGTTTGTAAGGGCTGGCACTCATTCTTTGCATTGTGGAGTGATGTGTACAAAGTAATTTATGGCGCCCTTCTGCTCTATGCTGCCTCATGACACAGACACGGCACATCTAGCTGTGCTGCAACGCCTCGAGGAGCAAAAATAACTTTCTCTATGTGTGTTTGTGTGTTTACTGGAGGAGGAAAACTTACTAGTCCAGCTTTCTGCAGTCGACCTCTGACGTCTGTTTAGGGTACTGTGTTAAAGTGCCTCTGTTATACTATTTTAAAGGTTCCTAATGTTGTTTTGGAGGCTCCTACAACAGGTTTACATGCAACATGTTAAAAAACGTTACTTTTCTCCTGGTATACATTGCAGCATCACCCTTTTTCTCACAATGTCCGAAATCCCTCTCACATCCCTCCTTTCTGAGCGCCTGGTTCAGTCTGTTGTGATTGGTCTACTCTGCTCTGATTGGTCAGGTGGCCCAGTCTGTTGTGATTGGTCTACTCTGCTCTGATTGGTCATATGGTCCAGTCTGTTGTGATTGGTCACAACTGTAATATCTGAAAAAGCATAATAGGGGCACTTTAAGTCACAAGTTAATGGAGCTCCATTCTTCATCCATTCCATTTCTGTCTTGACATCACAAAGCACAGTTAGAATCTAGAATATTCAAATACAAAAACAGTTATGGGGATAATGGAGTATATGGAAAGAGTTTAACAGACTAAGACTAATGGACACAAACACACACTGAGGTCTGGGTTGGGTTATCCGGCCTCGTTCCAAGCCCCAGGTCCACCGTGCAGGACAGCAGGGTCGATCACAAGCCAGTTTCTTTTTGCCCACTTTTGGCACAACAGTGGCATCACAGCCAGAGTTACGTCTCACAGGGCAAAACCCAGATAACACAAACACACTAATGGACTTGACTTTAGCAAAAACTTTTAAAAAAATCTGTTTGTACAGAATTATTGTGCAAACATTGGCATTGTATTTCTATGCATGTATAATGCAGTTGTATGTTATTGTTATTGCTGAATATATTATGTAAAACACTTTTACTTTTAATTAGAAAAATGCTACATATAAAGTTTATTTACACTAGTAAAGTAGTAGTATTTTTAAATTTTTTCAAAGAAGTCTTTTCTGCTCACCTAGACTGCATTTATTAGACTGTCATTTTGATCAATTTAACACAATGTTGCGAGTGAGCGAGCTGCCTGTGACAAGTTGGCCGCCAGGTGCAGACGTCGACCTCCATTGGCCAGCAGCGTGGACGAGATATCTAACCTTTATATAGATATCTCTGGTTACAGTACTTTGCATTGTGACTGACAGCAGTGAGTGTCACAAATCACGTGTCTTGCGCTCTCACGCTCCCTATCGACACGAGCACTCTACTGAAACACGCGCTGGCTCGTCCATGTGTCTATGTATCTGAGAATAAAAGTACTAAAACACTACAGCACGGTCACATTATAGGATTTTAACAGCATAATCCAGTTTTAACATCAAAATCCAGGATTTTAACATCAGAATCCAGAATATTGCACTGTAGAGCATGCAACACGTGGGCGGTTTAAGGGTTTAAGCCATTATTAAGCAGGACGGTGAGTTATGTCTGTGAACAACATTGCATACGTTATACCAATCGACCTTATTTAATACGATTAATTAATGCATCATAAATACTATTACATATAACTTTTTATGACGCCACACTCATTACCCTTACTAAGTATTCCAATGCATAGGATCTAATGTGGCAAGATCTTATACAATACAATAAATAACATACAATGCCAATCTCTACATAATAAAATCCTAACGCACAAATGATTTTGCTTTATGAAATCAAGATATATGTAGATGTTCTCACCTTCCTTGCAGAAAGAAAAAGACCCAGTGAGTCCAGAGGAGTGGCTAAAGATATTTATAGTAAGAAGTATGGCAGCCTGCTGGGACATTAAAGGCACAACTAAGTATATTCAAGCATTTCAGTAATGATATCGCTTAGAGAAGTTAGAACGAGTATTTTCATTTCATTGTCAAGTTGTCAAAGTTAATATTACTGAAATCTCAGTTGTTATGATCTATTAATTACATGTTTTTGTTTTTTAATTGTTGTGGGTTCCCTATATTATTATTAACATTAATGATTATAATGAATTGGTTTGATTATTAGGATTTTTGGTCTGGTTTTAATACAATTCACACCGCACCAGTAAAACTCACACAATATAAACAGTTAATAATGTTAACTATATACCAAGCAAGCAGTTCAAATTCAACAATGACAAAACCACATTACAAAATAAAACATTTCATTTTCACAAGCTCTTTATACTGTATAGCCTTGAATTACAACTTTTTTTAACTTCAAATGTTTTGCTTGTCATTTTGCATTTTAGGCTGCAAGTGTAATTCTTTATATTAAATTAAATATATGGAAATGACACGTTTGTGATGACAAGTTTCAGCGGTCTTCGGCATCATAAATCCAGCAAAGTTTATATATATATATATATATATATATATATATATATATATATATATGTATGTATTATATGTATAATAACCAAGTAGAGTCAGCGTAGCACGCAGCGCCATCTGTTGGTGAAAATAATCACTATACAATTGCTCCTATAACCAGCAGGCTGCTGTTTGTTGGTCAGGCTTTTTTTGCAATGTATTTGCAGGTTATTTTGAACGAGCTGTAAAACAGGAACAGAACACAAAAAACTGGGACTGTCCGTACATATAGTACTGACATTAAACTTATGAGTGGCAACAAACTGCAAGACAGACCTTATCGGATGGTTAAAATGAATTAATTTCTTTAAAAAAATTAGTTTCAAAAATAAGCACGCCAAGTAAATATCGCACTATGGGTTTGCGAGACTTTATTGGGTTCATAACAAGTAAGCAATGGAAATCAAAACAAAACCAATAAATATTCAGTTTGAAGCCACTGGATTTTTACAGTTGTTGGAATTCTTCAGTTCAGGGATGGTTCATTTTTACGTATTAAACTTGAATAAGAAAAATACATTAATATGTCTGAATTTGAACTGCAGTTAATCATTTTCCACTGAGCTTTCTATATGTGGACGAACACTGTGATTAGCACTGTGAAGCTCATTGCTCCTCCTATCCTGAGGCTGAAATACCCTTGAGAAGCTCCATCTGCCTCCTCTTGTCCTTTGCCCTGTTCACTGTCATTTTGAATAGCCGGCAGTACATCTCAATCGCAACAGGAGTGTCATCGTTTCCTGGCACTGGGTACGTGATAAGGCTGGGGTTACAATTAGAGTCCACAATCCCGACAGTGGGAATATTCATTTTGGCTGCGTCCCGGATCCCGACGTGCTGCTGGAAAACGTTATTGAGCGTGGAGAAGAAGATGATGAGGTCTGGAAGTCTCACCCCGGGGCTGAACTGGATAGGGGCGTTGGTGAGCACTCCTCCCTTCCAGTAGCGCGTGTGAGCGTATTCTCCGCACTCCCTCGCCGTCGACTCCACCAGGTGCCCGAACTGCCGCCTGCGGCTCACGAACAGGATGACCCCGCCTCGGTACGCCACGTGAGCCGTGAAGTTCAGCGCCCGCTGGAGGTGTTCTGCTGTCTGCTCCAGATCTATGATGTCAACATCCAGACGAGAGCCGAACAGATACGGTTCCATCAGCCTAGAGAGAGAAACATAGCTTAGTGATCTCAAATAAATTTCAGGTTATATATTTAAACACATTAGTAGCCAAAAGTGGTGTCCAGTCTAAGAAAATTGGCAGATTATAAAAAAAAACTGTTAAGATTTTGTTAGAATAAAGACATTATGAAGAACACATGCAAAATACAAGAGAGAACCAACTAAATATGAATAACCAATTATGATGTAGTCAATGTATGCTTTTTCCTGAGCTTTTTGTTTTTCTATGCATTTATTTTTTTGCTAACCAAGTTTATTGTTCTGTTATTCCTTCATATTTAAAATATTAAAAATATATATAAAACATTTTCCTCATCCTTTTGATCTCACTTGTAGGGTCATTAAATGCATGCATACATACAGAGAAAAAACAATAATATTGTGAAATATTACAATTCTATATACTTTAAAATATAACATTTCTGTCATGCGAATCTGAATATCTGAAGGATCATGTGACACTGGAGTAATGGTATTGAAAATTAAGCTTTACATCATGGAAATAAATGATATTTTAAAGTAGAACACCATTATTTTAATTTTTTCTGTATGTTTTTTTTTTATCAAACAATAAGCATTATAGACTTTCAAAACATTAAATATAGTAATGTTTACAAAGTTTTGACCAGTACTGTGTATATACATATAGATATTTGAAATGTGTAAGAAATGAATTAAAAACATTTTAAATAAATATAAACACAAATATTCCATGTTTCCTCCAGTAATTGGTCATTCAAACTTAATGTATTAGTATATCAACTCATACTGAAAGACACCACACGTGATTTACCCACCTGTGTCGGCAGCCTTTCTTGTGTCCAAGATGCACACGGGCATCAAACAGGTCCTTTATGGTGAAGAGCTCAGACAAGCGGAAATAGTCTGGTTGAGTAAGTGGGAAGTTCTGGATTTTCTCTGTGGCAGCTGCATATGTAAGACTGCATATTAGTTATGAATAAATATATCTCTCACTCTCATTGTATAAGTCAAGTGCTTTTTGTATAGGGCATTTAAATATTGTTTTACAGCTTTACAGAAAAAAAGCGTGCATATCAGAAACATATTAATATTAAGTTCATACACCAAATAAGGTAAAAGGGGAATCATTCTAAATCGAGCTGCTTTTATATGCAAGATACATCACATCTGTATTCATTTATGTAATTGTGGTTAAACAATAAAGTAATGTAAAATGTGGTGACAGATCTTGTGGTTGGAAACGCAAAGCAAAACCTATGAAAAATGTTATATGAGAACCTATGACAATTGTTATATTCCAAGGGTTTTCAATGCCACGGACCCTCAAATATAATCATCCTCCTCAAGCAAAGGACAACCATCCTAAAATGAAAAAGGTTACTATATATGTTATATGTAAATAATTAAACAAATTATAATGAAATTAGCTATACTTAATAGTTAACTTTAACCTAATTTTGTATATATATATTTATATATAATCTTTTATTTTAATATCACTAATTTTTAAAGTCACTGTATTTCCTCTAAACATTTCCATCGACTCCCTTGTGGTTCCCGGTTTGAAAAGCCCATAGACAGACATTGTATGTCTAGGTCGCTGGGTTTCATAATGATAATAAGAATCATAATCACCGGTGTCTCTCGTTGATTTGACTGCAGCTGCTGCGGAGCTGAACGTCTGTCCGTGACATGAGAACACAGGAGAGACCAACCGAGGTCTTCGGAGAACCTGCGTTACTGAAATCATCATACTCAATTCATTAAATGTTGGATTTTTTTATTTTGTAACTAAAGTATATTGCATGCATGGCTTCTCAGAAACTCAATAGTTACGTAGTTTCACACGTAATTTATTATAATTCATTACAAATCATAAGCAAGATTACAAAGTAATTATATGTCAGTAACTAATCTTATTTTAATATGGTAAACACAATAAAACCTAACATAACATAAAAACACGTTTTATTTCACCTCTAGTTAAGACGCCCGCTGCCATGTTTCCGTTCGATCTCCGCCCACTGGGCTTGCGGAAAAGCGCAGAGGATTGTGGGTAGTGATGTTCCAAGCAATGCTTTGGTCTTATTAAAAACTGTTAGCGTTAAGCACCACATGAACTACAAGAGCCACAATGGCTTCGAAATGAACAAAAAAACTTTATTCAAAAATACAGTATCATTTTGATTACAATGGACAGAACTTAAAACGATAGATTAAACAAAATAAAAACAATATAAATGCAGAACTAAATAATGTGCAGCAGCAATTATATATATATATATATATGTATATATATTGCTTTTTTTCCTTACATTTAAATGCAATTCTTACGTTTTAAATATACTTCATATTACAATATTCTGTTGAACTAGAACCTCCTTTTTATTCTATTTTCCAGTGTCTTCAGTTTATCTGTAATAAAACAAAACATGGACAAGTTAAACTAAAGCGTAACAACCAGAAAGCATCTAAATCATTTCTGCATGAATGCCGATCACATTTTCACAGTTCTTTACACAAAAAACATTTATTGTGTGAGCCATCAGTTGATGTTTTATGTGCAATTTAGTGAACAATGCGTCCTGTATTATCTAAGTGCTGTATTTACCTGGGCACACTGACCACAAACTGCAGCCTTCGTTTCACTGTTTTTCTGTCCTACAACACACACACACATGCAAAACACATAAAAACATGCTTTGCCCGATATTGCCATTTTTGCTTGGATATTTTGTCAGTGACTTGATCACTTCAAAAACTCAACCGTCACACATGTCTATACTGTATTATCCCTTACCAGTAATACGTGTATTAAATCAGTGTTACATCAGTGTGTGTGCCAGTAAAAGCATGGATTTTTAATATAGTGTTTGTATACCTCTAGCTGCTTTTGAATGAGGAGGCGTCTGGTTTGGAATTTCAGACACCTCTCCTCCGTGTCCAGAGCGATATATGGGCTTAGTAAGATCCCTGGATCTATAGAGGTGGAGAGAAACCTAGAGCAAACAAAAGACACATATTTACACATTCATATACACTGCCAGTCTCTGCATCTGTCATCTGCAAATAACACATTTGATTGCTGATACTATAAAATACAAAGCATGATCTTTTTTGAAAACACTATTTGGTTTAAAGTTACAATCTTCTTTTATGCATTTTGCAAACACATCTGGATGCTTGTTTACTCATTTACTTTAACATTACAGTGTAAGATAAAGCAACAAATATAGAATTTAAATATTAGAGTAAAAACAAAACATCAAAATTTACAATGCAAACTGTTTAAAACATAATTGGATAGCAGAAAGCATCTTTCCTGTCAACATTTGATAAATCTATTTATAATATTGGTCCCCTATTATATGTATAATGCAACAAAAAATTGTAGTACATTACATTGTTATGAAATCCTCCAATCTTCTTTTGTGAGTAAAAATGTACAATCCGTAACCTTTTTACGTCTTGATGAGTTTTTAAATACTTTAGAGTAAAAACATGAACATTTAGCAGGACAGCTAAATGAATTTTGAATATTCGCCGGTCAGTTACACGATGTAGATATACTGTAGTTTATTTTTACATTGCAGGGAAACTGTAGTTTTATCATAAACTGGTATTAACTTTAGTTTCCTTGGACATCTGTGAGAAAGGAAGCAACTGTATAATAAGATATAGCAGAGGAAGCTATGGAAGATACTGATCATAAACATGTATTGGAACTCGCACGTTCATGCACATTTGCACATACACACGGTTAAGAACAATGCAGCCTTGTGTCTCAAAGTCAATTTTATTATACATCTTCAGAGATACAGTTTGAGTTTATTTTCTCTGTGCAGAGCAGGGGACCAAAAAAGTTATTTTTTGCAAAATATTTATGAAAACTGGCAATGCCCAGCATAGTCAGCATGAGTCTTTACTTTCTTCTCTTCTATAAACAAAAATAAATAACATTCTTTTTACATAGGAAAACACCTACATATAATAAGCAACAGAAACAGGAACTAAGAAACAGGTGCAGAGAGAGAGCGAGAGAGAGAGAGCGAGAGAGAGAGAGAGAGAGAGAGAGAGAGAGAGAGAGAGAGAGAGAGAGAGAGAGAAGAGAGAGAGAGATATGACAATTGTGTTTTGATACGTATGCAAACATGCAAAAAGATAACTGAATATCGAAACATTGAGAGTTTCCTCCTTGTAATTTGCAGTCTGACATAAATCTCTAAATGGTTTAAGTCCAGTGGTACAAAATAACCTAGTTATGACAAAAGAATATAAAGATTTCCTGACTAAATACAAAACAAACATACAAAAAAAATGTTAAAAGGGCACATCAAGGGAAATCAATGCATCTGTTGAGGGCAATTAATTCAAAGAGCAAAGGATACAATGCTACTGCCTTTTTCTGTAAAATTTTCATACCAAGTAAATGGCTGTATTTCATACACATTCTATATACATATTGTATGTAAACTCAAAGGGCTCATTAAGAAACACACGCAGAACAAATTTCTTGGTAAACTGTTTGTTAAACTGTTCTTGTGTAGATCACCACATTAAACTGAATAGAACGATTTACACAAGTGGGCTTCATTTAACAAAAATTCATTTAGTTTGTGTTTTACAAACGAGGTCTATCTTAGTCCTTCACTGTTGCACTGAGGAGATTTTCATCATTGACAATCCTCAGGGAACATTTTAATGTTACTAAGAGGCGACTTCCCTCTCAGAGGTCAGAGGTCAAAGGTCAAAATTATGTCATTCTATTGTGGATGAATTACTCTGAAACATCAAAATATTTACAAAAAATGTAGTTTTTAAGGACCATTGCAAATGAACATTCTACATTCTGTAGTCCTTTTTACAGTTAAGTACTGGAAGATGCAATTAGCACAGTTTTATTTACCTTTCAGACATGTTTTTCCGGGGAATTTTTTTTCTCTCCTATGGATTTGGGATTTTTTTAATGGAAGCTTGTTTCCGCACTGAATAAAAAAAAAATAAACAAATAATTGTGACTTGTCTCACAATTCTGAGTTTTTACTCACAATTGCAAGTTAATATCTCCCATTTCTGACTTTATTTCTCTGAATTGCGAGATAAAAAGTCAGAATTGCATGATATAAAGTCGCAATTGCGTGTTTTACAGTCAGAATTGCGTTATATAAAGTCTAGCAATTATCTAGCAATTCATATTTTATATCTCGCAATTCTGACTTTATATAGTAAACTCGCAATTGTGAGAAAAAAAGTCGCAATTACCTTTTATATTTTCCATTCTATGGCGGAAACAAGCTTCCATAGTTTTTGGACCTGTGGAACTCTTATGTAAACTCACGGATATATTTTTATCTTTTCATAAACCTGCGGTTTTTCATAACAATTACTTTTCGTAGTCAAAATTTCAAAGTATAAAGCAAAGTTTTTAAAGCAGGATTCATTCAAAAATGCTGCAGAGAAAAAAAAACAACAAAAACAATAAAAATGTAATCTCACTTTATAACATGTCTGCTTTTAAATATATTTATAAATGTACAAACATACAAAAAATGATGTGGTACACTCAAAGAAGTCCTACGTGGTGTCCCTTGGAACCTAAATAATACAGTACAAAAATTTTGAAATGCAGGATGAGACGCTGCAGTCCGTCAGGCTAAATGCTGAAAATAAAAAACAACTAACGCTTAAAGCCGAAGGAAAATTCGGCTGTATGGTTGGGAATCTTGCAGAACACCTGTGGATCAGATATGGATCCATAATTCCACCCAAACCAATGACCAAAACTCTCATTAACCCTTCTAATTAAAGACCGCAACAATTTGTTGGAAGTCTTTCATACCTTAGATGGAACAAAAGCAAGGATTGGTACTGGGCTTTTGGCGACCATGTTCCCTCAACTGATATGTGTGTGTGTTCGGAGAGAACAAGTACTCACTGATTAGTGGGCTGATTCCTCCTGTCTTTTGTCTTCTGATCTTTCCTTTCCTCATCTGACTCTACATCTGTCTCATCAACACATTTCTCTTCCTCATCTTCCTGCTTTTTCTCTTCCTTGCTAACACTTTCTCCCTCCCTTTGTTTTTCTCCTAAACTTGCAGTGGATTCTGTGGACTCAGCTTGGATGCCCTGCAGTTTTGTCTTTGCTGAGAGTGATGGGAAAGCACTCTGGTCCCGTTGTACCTGGATTACATCATCACCCAGGTGGGGCTGCGGTACTGGTGAGAGCTGGCACAGATGTGAGGTGGCGGGGGATAAGTGTAGTCTATCGGAGAGGTGTCTTTCCCTTTTCAGGCGGTTATGCAAGTAAAGTCCCTCTGTCCTGCCCCCCGGGGATGCTGAGGCCGAGAGGTCACCAGTGATGACGGCAGGGGAACTAATTCGAGGTTTCGAAAGAGGTGAGGGACAAAGAGAGCTAATGACATCCTTTAAAGGTATCCTAGTGGCTGATCTACTGTGGCGGCTGACAGGAACGTCATTACAGTCTGCCGGGGAAGGGTCCTTGACGTCGCTCATACTGCTGTTAACGGGTCTCAACAGGAACAAGTTTTGGTGTTGATGACCTGATGAAGGGGGTGCTTCGGACCTCACAGAGGGTGTTGTGAAGAAGTTGGGTTTGATGCCATGACTTGTCGGACTGTCCTTTCCTGTCTGGGAGCTGCCGTTCTTTGGATCTCTTGGGGTCGAGATCTCAAATGTTTGACTTTCGGGCCTCCTGAAACCCATAATGCAATTGCTGCCTGGTGTCAGGACTGGTCTCTTGTTGAGTTCTGCAGGTGCATCCTTGGGTCTTGTAGGTGTGGTTATGGTTTCACTTTTACTACCAGAGGTTGACGTTGAAGCAGACACTGGAGTTTCAATAAGAGTCTTTTCAATTTCTGTTTTAACATCAAACTCTGCAGCTGAGGTCAAAGAGTTTACGGCCTCTTCCTGTTTGATGTTTGCAGCGAGAGGTGCGGACACCTTGGCCCTTTCAGCTAGAAATCTCCTGATCTCTTGCTCAATGCTATCATCGCTGTCAACAGAACTATCATTATCTTCTGCATGTGGACTGGAAGAAGGTATGTCCCCATCTGAG